ACCGTGGTCGAGTTGTACTGTGTTGAGGGTGAGGAGATCATATACTCCATGTTGCAAAATTGAATATTGGTGATTACATTGGAGGTCATTAATGTTAATTTCTCTGCTGGTGCTATACTTCCATATTTTCGACATTAAAAGTCATAATGTTAACTTCTCACTGTACTTGTTTACCAACGTTAATGTTACGGGTTATTCGCTTCTACTTCATTCGTTTAAAAATGGAATCGAACAATTGATTCATGAAAAGTCAGATTTTTCCTCTTAAATTAAAAATCAAATTGCTTTGGGAGAGAGTTAGTGGTTTGCCACTATTTTGGGGTTGGACTGAGAATTATCTAGTTAATTCTACTATTAAGTACTTAAGCTGTTGTATTAATTGCTCTAAGGCTTCTTGTTTTATTGCTAGATGTCTGTCAATTTGTGTGATTCTTAAACTATAGTGTGCTAGAGATCTACCTGTGGCTAATGATAGCAGAAATTGATATATTTGTTTTTGATCTTCTAATTCTTGTATATGTTCAGTACTTAGCTCTAAGTTCTTCTTTCAAAAGCACAAAAATTTGGCTTTAAAAGATATTATATTGAAAATATTCCTTTTGTATTTCTACTTAGGTTACTCCCCTTTTATTCTAAAATTCTTTCATTTACTTTGTAAAACTACTTTTAAGTGATGTTTGCTTTCATTACATATACTCTCACCTTGAGACTAAATCTCGTTTGACATAGCATATTTTTATTTTCCCATTCCTTACCTTTCCCTTTTTGCTACAATTTTTCTCTAATGCCGGATCACGACTCACATGGGTTCTTCAGCTAAGGTCACTCAGTAATGGAATAGAAAAAACAATAAATACTATGAAGGTTCAAAGCATTTAATAGTAAAGAGCAAACATTTCATAAACTTAGTTTTTCAAAAAGAAAATAAATTTTAGAACAAAGGACTTACCCTTTTCAAATACCCAAGGAAAAAGAGAAATTGCTCACACTTCACATTAATATAACAAAATACTTATAAGGATTATGTTACATACTCTGGGACACTTAGAAACTTGGAAGACAACAGTTGAGACACTTCAAAGTTGGACAAGGACTTCAGTATTTTTTCTTATGTTTCTAATTGAAGAGTGTTCTCTATTTATAGTGGTGAATACTCCTAAAGACCGACTACCGAAAGAATCAGTCAAGGATTAAGATAATGATGCCGGGTATTACTTTGGGCCCCATTGCACATCACTCAATCCTCCCCCTCTTGGTTCTTCGTTTACAAAATACTACAAAAAGAAAAAAAAAATAAAAATAAAACACGTGTAAGGATTCTCACAGTTTTTCTTTAATGGAGTAGAGTAGGGATCGTCTACTCTATTAAAGTAGTGAGTGAAGGAGAAGCCTTACTATTGACAAATGCAAATAATTACAATAGTTTTTGTTGTTTTTTGACGTGAATTCTAACACATATTTTCAGGCGTGAAGGAGAAGCCTTATATCTAACAATCTCAAATAATTATGCTGGCTGTTGTCGTTTTCGGGCTAAGTCCTTGGTGAAGCTCCCTGTAGATGCTTACTGATGTAGATGCTTGATTGATGGTGAACTTGGATGCTCTAGACCCTTGGATTTTTTTTTGACCTTCACCCAAACATTCTATACGAAAGGTCTGCTGCTGAAAGTTAATCATAAAAATCTGCCTCATTATCTGGTTCATTCTCCCATTGATCATCATCTTGAAATATTGGTGACTCATGAGAAACGCTATGCTGATAGTTAGGATACTGACTTTCATCAATAAAAGTCTCTTTGCTGAAAGGAAAACTTGGAATAGACAAGTTAGAATAGATCTTCTGGTTTTTATCTTCACAGACGAGGTGTCCATAGTTTCCATTATAAGCTGATTGAGGGTTATTAACAAATTTTCTCCATTTGTTAAGCTGATCTTTGAGTAAAAATTTCTTGCATGGCCAAGGTCTTCGGTTGAAAAGTACCGGGTATCCTGAAAATGTTGGGGTTCCTCTAAGGTATATTTTATGCTTGGTGAGAATACACCTTATTCCTTTCCATTCTGGTAGCTTGCTATCAATCAATATTTCAACAAATGGATAATGTTCTTCCATTATACAAAGTACTGAATAAGCAAATTCATTTCCAAAACTATGAATCTGGTCTGGTTCTGAAAAAATCATTTTGGAAACAAATCATAATCCAACAATTGTGCGGCGGTTAGAATACAAGTTTTGCCTTTTATCTCTAATGGCTTAAAAGTGGCTAAATTTATCTGACAAAGACAGATGCCGAAGTCAAGATTGCATTGACTCAAACCAGACCAGACTGATAGTTTTGGAAATAAACTTGCTCATTTAATACTTTATATAATGGAAGAACATTATCCATTTGTTGAAGTATTGATTGATAGCAAGCTACCAGAATGGAAAGGAATAAGGTGTATTTTTGCCAAGCATAAAATGTACCTCAGAGGAACCTCAACTTTTCTAAGATACCCAGGACTTCTCAACCGAAAACCTTAGCTATGCAAGAAATTTTCACTCAAAGATCAGCTTAACAAATAGAGAAAATTTGCCAATAACACTCTATTAGCTTATTATGGAAACTATGGACACCTCAAAAACAAAAACTAGAAGATCTATTGTAACTTGCTATTCTAGATTTTCCTTTTAGCAAAGAGGCTTTTGTCAATAAAAGTCAGTATCCTAACTATCAACATAGTGTTTCCCAAGAGTCACCAATACTTCAAGATGATGATCAGTGGGAGAATGAACCAGTTAATGAGGCAAATTTTTATGATCAATTTTTAGAAGCAGACCTTTCGGATAGAATGTTTGGGTGAAGGTAAAAAAAATAAAATAAAAACAAGGTTCTAGATCATCCAAGTTCACCATCAATCAAGCATCTACAAGGAGCTTCACCAAGAAGGACTTAGCCCGAAAACGACAACGGCTAGCATAATTATTTGAGTTTGTTAGAGATAAGGCTCCTCCTTCACGCCTGAAAATGTGTCAGAACTTACGCTAAAAAACGACAAAAACTACTGTAATTATTTGCATCTGTTAGTAGTAAGGCTTTCCATTCACTCACTACTTTAATAGAGCAGACGACCCCTACTCTGCTCCATTAAAGAAAAGCTGTGAGAATCCTTACATGTATTTTATTTTATTTTTTCTTTTCTTTTTATAATATTTTGTAAACGAAGAATCAAGATAGGGAGGATTGAATGATGTGCGCTGGGGGCCCAAAATAGTACCCGACATCATTATCTTAATCCTTGACTAATTCTTTCGATAGTCAGTTTTTAGGAGTATCCACCACTATAAATAGAGAACACTCTTCTATTAGAAACACAAGAAAAATCCACTCAAGTCCTTATCCTCGTCCAAGTTTCAAGTGTACCACTCAAATCTTTGTCCTTGTCCAACTTTGAAGTGTCTCAACTGTTGTCTTCCAAGTTTCTAAGTGTCTTAGAGTCTGTAACATAATCCTTAAAGTATTTTGTTATATTACTATGAAGTGTGAGTAATTTCTCTTTTTCTTTGGATATTTGGAAAGGATAACTCTTTTGTTCTAAAATTTATTTTCTTTTTGAAAAACTAAGTTTATGAAATGCTTGCTTGCTTATTATTATATTACATGCTTTGAACTTTCGTAGTATCTATTATTTTTTCTATTCCATTATTGAGTGACCATAGCTGACGAACCTGTGTGAGCCGTGATTAAGCATTAGAGGAAAATTGTAGGTAAAAAAGGAAAAGGTAAGGAATAGGAAAATAAAAATATAATATGTCAAACGAGGCTTAGTCGCAAGGTAGGAGTACATGTAACGAAAGCAAACATCACTTAAAAGTAGTTTTGCAAAGTAAAGAAAAGAATTTTAAAATAAAAGGAGAATAACCTAAGTAGAAATACCAAGGAATATTTTCAATATAATATTTTTTAAAGCAAAATTTTTATGCTTTTGAAAGAAGAACTGAGTTAAAATTAGATCTAGTACTGAACATATACAAGAATTAGAAGATCAAAAATAAAGATATCAATTTCTGCTATTGCAGGTGTACTGGGCAAAGTCCACGCATCCCACATTACTCTGTGAGAGATCACAGCTCCACTACATAAGTTGACCAACTCCCTTAGCCTAGTATGAGGCCTTTTAAAATAGTGACGGGTTAGATAGCTGAAATGACCTAACTCCAAAGCGGACAATATTTGGCTAGTCGGGGAGGGTTAGCTGTTTCATTTGGCGCCGTCTACGGAAACTCCCTACTCAGGCAGCCAGTCCACTGGGGAGTTATGTGGGTATACTTAGCAAAGTCCAATCCCACATCGCTCTGTGAGATATCATAGCTTCACTACATAAGTGGATTAACTCTCGTAGACTAGTATGAGGTTTTTTAAAGCCGTGAGGGGTTAGCTAGCTGAAATGGCCTAACTCCGAAGCGGACAATTTCGTAGCCGCTTCAGCTATCATTAGCCACAGATAGATCTCTAGCACACTATAGTTTAAGAATCAAACAAATTGACAGACAGCTAGCAATAAAACAAGAAACCTTAGAGCAATTAATACAACAGCTTAAGAACTTAATAGTAGAATAACTGTAAGTCCAACACCAAAATAGTGGTAAACCACTGAGAATTTTCCTCTTAAATTAAAAATAAAATTGCATAATTATTACATACTTAAAAGAGGGTATTGCTACGTGGCGTGTCTTCTACATTATGATTGGTTTAGACAACAGGCTCCATAATTATATTGATGTTTTAAAAGATAAATAAGAGATAGTTACTTTTCTCATAGAATAGGATTTAAGAGGCTCAAAAGGACAGACCCCCATCCCTTCCATAAACTCTGAATGCTTATTTTCAATTTTTAACCTGAAATTATCTTTGTAGTTTCCATTTTCTTGCATGTAGAGCAAGTACAGAGAAAGTCATTAAGTAAGAACTCAAGAACAATTACGAATATTTAAAAAAAAAAAATTCCTTAGAATTCACTTACTGTGGTAACTTCTCGGATCGGAAAATTGCAAACTTTGAAGCCTCTGAGTAAGAATAATGAATCCCATTCTCCTTGAGAAACTCCTCAATCAACTTCTTGACCTTCTCGGGTTCTGCACTCTCGCATTCGATCTCATAACAAGTACCAAAATCATACATAGTCTCATCCACCTCCAATTTCAATCCATTCCAGTCATAAACTCCTCTCACATTCCTAAACCCACCCAAACACACAAACCCTCCACCAACAACCCCAAACTCATCTCTTACCCTCTTCATAATCCTCGAATCCACCGAACCAAGCTTCGACGGGTCCGCCACGCATTCGCGGCCGAGCAGAGGGTCCATTTCCTCCTCGTCCTCCTCGACACGACTCACGCCGTCGACGAGTACAGCTTTGGCTTTGAGAGAGACGACGCAGTTGGCATCGTCGTCATAGAAGCGGAGGCGGAGAACAGCGCGGCGAGAGGAGAGCTCGGAGGCGACGCCGTCAAAGAAGGTGTTGTATTGGCGGTGGGTCTGGCGGTGGAAGGGTGAAAGGATAGAGAGGAGATTCTGGTGGGCGGCGGAGTCAGGAAGACGAAGCTTGACTTCGACCTCCATTAGGGTTTCGGTGGGGACTAGGAGGAGGAGGAGAGGCCGATGCGGTTGGATTTGGAAGAGGGATCTTTAAAATGTTGGAGGAGAGAGGCGGCGCCGGTGGTGGTGGCGACGGCGGCCGTGGCGGCGGAGCGCTTGCGGGCTTCTTCGATTTCTTCCTTGTCTTCAACTTTGACTTCGATTTTACTGGGCTTTCTTCTCAGCATCTTTCTCAATAGTCAGTCCCTCTATCACCAAAATCCATACAGCCATTTTATAATTTGACTTTGTCCATCTCCCAGTAAATAATTAAACAAGTTTTGTTAGGCAATTTAGTAATGTAAATTTAATTTTGACTCTAATAAATTAGTTATTGAATTAGTTATTTTACTATCTTATTTTTTTGATAGTTATAATTGAAAAGCCTCATAGTCTCTTCAAACAATTATATATGCATATATTTTAAATTTTTATATATTTATATCTTGGATTTGGAATTTTATGTATTATATATATATATATATATATATATGTGTGTATATATAGCAATTTTATATGTTCTTTCAATTCTATTTGATAAATTACGGAACATTTGATAAATTACGGAATAACTTATTTTGTATTTTCTATTTTTTTTCTCATCAGGTTTTATATGTTTGTATGGGCAAATTTATTATTATTGCAAATTTATATTAGTAAAATGTCAACAATTAGTATTTTTTTATTTTAAAAATTAATTAAGTTAGTTTAAATAATTAGCTAAAATAAAGAGCGTGATTGGAGAACACAATAACTAAAGTAATTAGGTAAAATAAAGAGTGCCTTTTTTTTGTACCTTAGTTAGTGAAAAGTAGAGAGTCAATGCTACTCTTCAAGCTTGGCAGACAAATGGGTTTGACTAAAACAAAACCAAAAAATCCAAACTGTGCCATATATATATTTTTTTTGTTGATAACTCAGGGTGTCCGAACCAGCTTGCGCGCATCTCGACTAATCCTTGGGGAACCAATCCCACCGTTCACTAACGGGGGCCTATTTAAAGCTAGAGTAAAGCTCTGTATGGACTGGCCCAACACAAAAATTGATAGCACCTAAGATGTTTCGAACCTGAGACTTAAAGAGAAGTAAACTGCGCCATATAATACATAAATATTTATATACTAATAAATGACTAGTGTAAATGACTTGCATTACCATAATAATATTAATAGTAATCAAGTTGCATATGGTTATTTTTTAAAACATTTATTCAAAATTAATAATCAAAACAAAATTTAATGTATATTTTAATAATTACTTCTCACGAAAACTACAACACCTTTTCAGAAAAATAATAAGTTGTCAGCAAAATGTTATAAATGTGACAAAATAGGACATTATACTAATAAATGTAGAACTAAACAAAAAATCAAAGAATTAAATATTGATGAAGGATTAAAACCTCAACTTTATAAACTTATGATTAATTCATTTGACTCCAAAGATAATTTTGCTCTAGATAGAGATGAAATCGCAGAATTATATTCTGATAATGAGACTTCTTCTAAAGAGACTGACCAATCTGAACAAGAAGTAGGGTGTAGCAAGAGTTGTTGCAACTTAAATGCTGAATCTAATTATAGGAAAGCTATTATTGAAATAAATGGTTTATCTACAGAACCAGTATTAATGTTCTTACTGATGAACAAAAAGATGTATTGAAACTTATAGATCAAATTAAAGATCCTCATTTAAAACTTAAAATGCTTGAAATTTGTTATCAAAAATCTCAAGAATCCTCTGAAGAAAACATGCAACCTAATTATTGCAGTCTTAAAGAAGTAGTTCAACGAATGGAAAACAATACTCCTAAATCTGAAACCCTTGCTAATCTTAATGATCTCCGAAGAGAAGTAAATTTACTTAAAACAAAAATTAAGGAGTTAAAAATTCATCAGCAACAAAACAAGCAGAACATAGCCCAAATAAAACAACAAATTTCTACACTAACTGACCAAAAGAATAAGGCTAAAAATAATGATGTATCTGAAGAATCCACTTCTGAAAATAAATATTTAATGTTAGTAAATCAAATTACCTATCAAAAATGGTATATTAAAGTCACTTTTGTTATTAATAATAGATTTGTTATTAAAGATGCTATAGCCCTTGTTGATAGTGGGGCTGATATGAATTGCATTCAAGAAGGTCTTATACCCTCTAAATATTTTGAAAAAACCACTCAATCTCTAACTAGTGCAAGTGGTACCAGAATGATTATTAAATATAAATTATCCAAAGAACTTATTTGCAATCAAGGAATTTGTTTATCAACTTCATTTGTTCTTATCAGGAATATGTCTCAGACATTAATCCTAGGAATGCCCTTTTTATGCCTTTTAATGCCTATTGAAAAAATTGATTCTCAAGGCATTCATACAACTATCAGTAATCAACATATTGTGTTTGAATTTATAACCGAATCATATACTAAAGAGTTAGATCAAATAAGGATTTAATCATTTTTAAAGAAAAACAATTAATTTTTTTTACAAAAGGAAGTGTCTATTCTCAGTATTGAACAAAGACTTCAACAATCTTCTCTACAAAATAAAAAAAAAAAAACTATTGCTTCATAATTTGAATCAGAAATTTGTAGTGACATCCCGAATGCTTTTTGGGATAGGAAAAAACATATTGTCACTTTTCCTTATAAGCCTGATTTTGATGAAAAACAAATTCCAACAAAGGCTAGACCGGCACAAATGAAGAAAGAATATATGGAATTGTGTAAAACTGTAATAGCGGCTCTTCTGAATAAAAAATTAATCAGAAAAAGTTATTCTCCATGGAGCTGTACTGCTTTTTATGTTAATAAAAATGCTAAAATAGAAAGAGGTTTACCTAGACTTGTTATTAATTATAAACCTCTTAATGATGTTCTGAAATGGATTAGATATCCAATTCCTTATAAAAAAAAATCTTTTGGATAGTTTACACGATTTTGTTATATTTTCTAAATTTAATCTTAAATCTGGATATTGAGATACAGATTGCTGAATATGATAGATATAAAACTGCTTTTACAGTACCATTTGGACATTATGAATGCCATGTTATGCTATTTGGTTTAAAAAATGCTTCTTCAGAATTTCAGAATATTATGAATGACATATTCATACTTTACTCTACATTTACTATATGCTATATTGATGATATTCTTATTTATTCCTCATCCATTGAACAACTTATTAAACATCTTAATATTTTTAGCAATGTCATTATTAAAAATGGTCTTGTTGTATCTGCTCCAAAGATGAAGCTTTTTCAAACAAAAGTTAGATTTCTTGGCCATAATATATATAATGGCACAATTATTCCTATTGACCAAAGTATTGAGTTTGCAAATAAATTTCTAGATGAAATTAAAGATAAAACTCAATTACAAAGATTTCTTAGATGTTTAAATTATATTGCCGATTATTATCTGCATTTAGCCACTAATGCTGCAATACTTTATCAACGTCTCCGAAAGAATCCCAATCCTTGGTCATCTGAACATACTCAAGCTGTGTAGAAAATTAAGCTTAGAGTTGAACAATTGCCCTGCTTATCTATAAAATGGTGGAAAACTCTTGATTCATCCTAATATGAAATTATTGAACAAATCAAGCTTAATACCAAAGCTTGTTATGACGCAGTTCCGAAGCCCTCTCTTCTTGAATCATTTGCTATTAATCATTTTCTTAAAATTCAATTGGAAATTAAACAAAAACATCTGGAGATATCTGATAAAGATCTGTTGATTCAATGTATGGCATACATGAAAGAACAATTCCTACAATCTATGGAATCTGATGTCAGAGATGACGTCTCAATGATTTCCGCAGCCAGTCAAGATAAGGATTTGGAGAGAGATGATAATAATGCATTTACTATTCTAGCCGGAGAATCCCAAGACCCTAATGATGATAATGACGAGTCACGTGGAGATTTTTGGGATTCCCTCACTGATATTATTATTGAGAAAGTGGAGAGAGATAAGGCCCGCAAAGGTAAAGCAAAAGCCAATCAGTAAAGCTTTTGTCTCCACTATCACAATTATTGGAACTACTTTTGGTCAACTATCCATCAATCTATCCATCTATTCTGTCTTTATATGTCAACTATATCATCATAATTTATCGGTACAAGCCAACAAGATAAGGAGATAAGGATAATCGACTCCGAGCCATTTAGGACATGACACCCGTCTCCATAATCTTTTCTTATCCAAATGTAATATCTGAAGTTAAGGCTATATAAATGGAAGGTCTCACCCTTGTCGAGACATCTTCAGTTTTCTATTCTCTTTCTCTCTTGCACTCACTCTTGTAAAATTTCTCTCAGTTTATGCTATATAAGCTTTGTGTGGAAGATTTAGCATGTTTTGAACTCTTCTCCGAAAAACTTCTGTAAGTACTATGTTTTATGTCTGCTGAATTTCTGCATGAATTAAATGAAATATTACAATTTCATATAGATAGACTAAATACTTTATCTCCTTTGCTGCATATTCCTACTGTAGCTAATTGGATTTTTGAAATTTAACAATTAAAAGATAATACTAAAAAAGCTATACAAGAAGAAATAATTCGTTTGGTTTGCAACCAATGATCTTTCTCTTCTCCGTAGTAAATTCATGAGACCATATGTATTAACTTATAATTATTATACTGTTCATATGAACAATAATATTCTTGGATTTTTAATAATTAGGGACATGAATTATAATTCTGTAAGTGGGACGTCACCCAAGTCGCGGTTGGGGTTTTTCTAGCGTTGGGATTAAATTCCTTTGAGGCATGTATCTCCTATAAGTCATTCACAGACGTGCTTGCAAATTATAGTTAGCACACACCTAATTGGTAATAGAGCCATGCTTATTACTATTTGTATAAATGGTATAACAGTGATAAATTAAGCATATATGGTCACAATACAACCATATGAGTAACGAGGTTACTGAGGCTGCATCAAGTGGTGCAGAAAATTTACCCGTATCAATCGCAGGATCATCAGGATTAGCGCATAATGTTGAATTAATAGAATTTGAAGAAATTCAAGAAAAATTAGATAAATGGAATATACCGAAGGTAGCTCCAAAACAAATTTATAAAATTGGAACTTTCGATTTTAAATCAAAAACAATAATTAAAATTGTAGAATCAAACATCCATATTGAGCATGATGATGAAAGCCATAATTTATTTAAAGCTGCAGATTTACTTCCTTATTATAAGAAAT